TTCTCCTCCAAGTGTCATCTTCTTGCCTTCCCCAATCGCCATTCCCTCGATGCTTGCCTCAAAGTACAACAAACGACGGCAACGACACTCCGCTCCCAACAATGTTTTCATACCTTCCGCTACACCTCACGTGTACTCTCTGCTTCCTACCAGTTGCGCACCCTTCGCCTGACTTTGGGCTGCTATGTGTGAAGCCTCAATCCCACATCTCGTGTTACCTGTTGCGCGCCGCCATAGTCGCACAGGTAGTCGACAACGCAATGGCCCTCTAAATTCTCATGTACATGTTCTTACTGCTAATGATACTTAACATGTAGCTCATTTCAAGAGGTTAGTTTTTTAATTTGGTTGTAGGGTCATTCTCGACTTCAGACTCTTGTTCCGATTTAGGATCGGCACACGGGTTCTCTACTTGGTGTTGGCCCTCAGCGCTATGAGTCACACGCCCTTTGGAGTGTGCCAGGCTTCACCTTCCCTCCGCTACCACCGCCGCCAATCTCTTCGACTAACTTACCTCGTCTATCCACTCGTTCTAGCATGATTGTCGCAGTCGCATGTGTGGTTCTTGACTCTCATCCTTAGTTCGACATGGTCTCCTTGGATCTGTCTCTGGTAATGTGTCTTTAGACAGTCAAGATTGTTAGTTGGGTAAACACGTTCAATTACCTTATCCTTAGAGCTGTCTCGGCGTCCTTTCAATCTTGTTCACTCTGATGTTTGGGATCCAACTGCCTTTGCCTTGAAAGGAGGCCATCGCCACTATTATCTTTATAATGATTTCTCTCGACACAAGTAGATATATTTTATGCCTTCTTGTAGTGAGGTCTATCTGTAAGAAGTTTTCCGCCTTGGTTCATACTCAGTTTTCCACTCATATCCATGTCTTTGGTGTAGATTTTGCTTGTGTGTATATCCCTCATTTGCTGCACGAATTCCTTGTTGAGAAAAGCACACTTGCTCAGTTCTCGTCTTGTGCTCATGGTCAGAATGGTGTTGCTAACCGCAAGCATAGCCACCTTCATGAGGCGGCTAGTGCGTTGATGATCGTAGCCACCTATCTCGTCAATAATCATCCCTCCTTTGCTCTACATGGCGACGTTCCGAGCGTCTTTGTGGGCATTCCCCTGACAACTCCCTTCGTCCGAAATTGCTTGTCGCACAAATGGATAAAAATGGATGTATCTAGAACTGAAATATGTCTACATACATCCATTTCTCCGACAAGTATTTTCGGACGAATGGATTACTAAACACTTTGTTTGGTTGCGTTTGCTACGTTCTTCACGCACCAAACTGTCCGATCAATCTGTTGAATGCCTTCTTAGGTTACAGTGATGAGCACAAGGGCTATCGGTGTTGGGATCTTGTCAGTCGTCGGATGCGCATTTCTCGAGATGTGACTTCTCACTGAATCTCGTCCTTTTTATGCACGTCCATCCTCTGCTTCGCCCCCCCCCCCAATG